CCTTCGTCTCTCTCTCTCTCTCTTTCACTCGAGCGCGCAACAGCATGGATTAAGGATCCGTAGATCCAGCGGACCGAAACATGAAGCCATGCCGCCCGATGTGATGGCGGAGATCGCCGATCGTGTACGCAATCCGTGTTGGCGCCTCCACAGCTCACGTCTCCATCCCCGCCTTCATCCGCTGCTGCTGCTGCTGCTTCTCGCCCTGACTCCCCCTGACTCCTCCTCTTCCTCCTCCTCTTCCTCCTCCTCCTCCTCCTCCTCATCCTCCGACTGAAGCTCTGAAGCACTGAAGGCAAGAAAGGTCGTCGGACGTTGCCGTCCCCCCGCCAGGGCTGGTCGGCCCGGTCGGCCCTGCGGGGTTGATCAAACTGATAGCCTGGCGAATGTTGTCGCTGGCTGGGGGGGGGAATACAGTGCAAGGCAAGTGACAGCAGACACGATGGGAGAGGGGGACGAAGGGGACGGGAATAAGCCCTCGTCGTCCTCCGGGTCCTCCTCGTCCTCCTCCTCCTTCTCCTCGTCCTCCTCGTCCTCGTGGTGCTCCTCGTCGTCCACCTCGTGCTCCCCGTCACCTCGTCGTCCTCCTCGTCGTCCCCCTCGCCCTCCTCCGCCTACTCCTCCTCCTCCTCCTCCTCCTCCTCCTCCTCCTCCTCCTCCTCCTCCTCCTCCTCGTCCGTCTCGTCTTCGTCGTCCTCCTCCCCGAACTCTCTCGTCCTCCCCCTTCCTCACGCAGGCAAGCGCTCGGTGGGCGGGCGGTCCTCCCAGCTCAGGCCCCGGAACCAGGCGGCACTCCTCGGCGCAACGGCCAGTGCAAAAGCGCCCCTGCGCTTACGCCAAGCGTGCCCCATCTTCGGAGGCGAGCGTTCGAGGTTCGAGGTTTTCGAGGTTCAAAGTTTTCGGACGTGTCCGTCGGTTTTCAAAGGTTTTTTGCAGCCTCGGGATGCTTCCCAGCAGCTGCGCCTCGCCGAGGGCGTTCCAGGGGTGCTCGGATCGTCCCGAACGAACTCCACCGAAGGTCCCAATGGAACCGCCCGCATGCGTCAACCACCACCCACCAGCACAGCCCTTCCTCCCTGCGTTTCGCCCACCCAGCACAGCATTTCGTGACCCCATAGGGAGCTCCACCGAAGGTCCCAGTGGGACCGCCCGCATGCGTCAACCACCACCCAGCACAGCCCTTTCTCCTTGTGTTTCACCCACCCAGTACAACGTTTCGTGGCCCCATAGGGAGCTCCACCGAAGGTCCCAGTGGGACTGCCCCAAAGGCCCCAGTGGCACAGCCCGCCTGCGTCAGCCACCACCCAGCACAGCGCGTCGTGGCCCCATAAGGGGCTCGACCGAAGGCTCCAATGGCACCGCCCGTATGCGCCAGCCACCACCCATCACAGCGTTTCGTGGTCCCATAGGGAGCTCCACCGAAGGTCCCAGTGGGGCCGCCCGCATGCTTCAGCCACCATCCAGTACAGCGCTTCGTGGCCCCATGATGGGCTCCACAGAAAGACCCCAGTGGCACCGCCCGCGCGCGTCGTCAACTACCCAATACTCAATTCCGCGGCCCCATTGATTGGGACCACTACCGAAAGCCCCAGTGGCACCGCCCGCATGCGCCCCCCCCCTCCCAGTGCAGCGTTTCGTGGCCCCGGAGGGATCTCCAGTGGTCCGCCCGCATGGGACCCCCCATCCAGTGTAATGTTTCTTGGGCCTATAGGGAGCTCAACCGAAGGCCCCAGTGACACCGCCCACATGCGCCCTCCCCTCCCGCATGTGTCGGCCACTACCCAGTACAGCGCTTCGTGGCCCCATAGCGAGCTCCACCGAAGGCCCCAGTGGCACCGCCCGCATGCGTCTCCGACAACCAGTACAGCGCTTCGTGGCCTCATCGGAAGCTCCAGCGAAGGGCACCGCCCGCATGCGTCCGCCACGCCCAGTACAGCGTCTCGTGGCCCAAAGGGAGCCCCACCGAAGGCCACAGTGGCACCGCACGCGTGCGTCTCCCCCACCGATTATGGCACGTCCCTCGCGCGTTTCGTGGCCCTGTAGGAAGCTCCACCGAGAGCGGCACGCACAACACGTTATTCACAAATGCATATGGTTGGGTCCTTCGCCAGGAAAATGTTACTACACTCACTGCGAGTACAATGCAACATGCATGCTGCTAGCACGGCCCTCCGAGGGGCCTCTGAATGCCTCAGAAGGCACAGGGCTGCGGAGGTGGGGAAGCGCTGCTGCTGCAAGCCCGTCTCTCCCGCCTGTGCGAACACTGCGTGCGCAACAAATGATCTTGCCAGAAGCGGAACCCAGACCCTATGTTCACATGCTGCTCCCAGCTCCCCTCGGCAGCGGGCCGCCGCAGCCGCTCCTGACGCCCTCGGCGCCGCCGCGGCCTCCGGCCCTGGTCTCCTGGGCGCCACAGGGAGAGGAGGGGGGGGGAGGAACGTCGGTGGGCGGCGGGCCGCAGGGGGGGGGGGGGGGGGGCACCTCTCCCTCTCTCTCTCTCTCTCTCCTTCTCCCTCTCTCTCGTTCCTTCTCTCTGTCTCTCTCTCTCTCTCTCCCTTTTCTCTTCTGTCATCTGTCTTCATCTCTCTCTCTCTCTCTCGCTACCTATATGTGTAGATGTGTATCTATCTCGCTTTCTCTGTATGTGTTACTCTCTCTCTCTCTCTATTTGCCTCAGTCTGGCTCTCTCTTCTCTCTCTCTCTCTCGCTCCCCGACTTTCTCCTTCTCTGTATTCCTCCCTCTCTCATTATGTATCCTTCTCTCTCTTTCTCTCTTTCTCTTTCTCTCTCTCTCTCTCTCTCGCTGTCTCTCTCTCTCTCTCTCTCTCTAACCCTCTGTCCCTCTCGCACTCCCTCTCTCTCTCTTGTTTTTCTATATACCAATATCTCTCTCTCTCTCGCTCGCTCGTTCTGTCTCTCTCTCTCTCTCTCTCTGTATCTCAATATTTTGTCATTCTCTCTCTCTCTCTCTCTCGTCTCTCTCTCTCTCTCTCGTCTTTCTCTCTCTCTCTCTCTCTCTCTCTTCTTCTCACTCTCACTCTCTTTCTCTCTCTCTCTCTCTTTCTCTCTCCCTCCCCCCCGAAAACACGTGACTTCGCGCCCTCGCGCCGCCACCCGGAGAACGCCTGTTCACCGGCCCGTGCCGCACGGGCGAACCGCGGTCATCTTCGCGCCCGTAGGGTCTCTCTCTCTATCTCTTTTTCTCTCGTTATCTTTCTCTCTCTCTCTCTCTCTTTGTCTCCCTTCTCTTCCTCTTTGATTTTCTCTCTCTCTCTCTCTCCCTCTCTGGGTCTCTCTCTCTCTCTCTCTTCTCTTTCTCTTTTTCTTCTTTTTTTTGTTCTCTCTCTCTCTCTCTCGTTCTCTTCTCTTTCTCTGTTTCTCTCTCTCTCTCTCCCTCTCTCTCTCTCTCTCCCTCTCTGGGTGGGGGGAGGGTGGCAGGGACCAGCAGGAAACGGCGGCGCGGCCCCCTCGCTTTGAGTGAGCGTTTTGGGTGAGGCTCAGGCTGGGCTCCTGGCCCCGGGAGGGCAATTTGAGCCTAGGTGCTTCGTTGGTCGAGATTTCCTCTGTGCTGCATGATGCTCCTCATCCTCCTCTTCCACGCCAACGCCAGCCTCCCTCTCCTTCTGCTGATTACCACTTTCATCACCCCCCCGCAAAAGGGGGAAAGAAGAAGATGGTGAGCGACCCAGTGTGGTAGACGTCCGACAGTGTCCCTGAACCCACAACCAAACACGTCTCAGCGCACCTGCTGGGGGGAGTGGCAGGGTGGGCGCAAGAAAGCACAACAGCACACCAGCCCAACTCTGGCCCCCGGAGGGGGGGGGGCAGGTGGAGGGGGGGGTGTACACGCCGGTCGGAAGACGTAAGCGAAAACATGAAGTAGAAGGGCGGATCAAGTAGATTGGGCCCAGGCCCTCCCAGACAATGACAAAGCACAGCACAAGCAGATCGACTATTGCAGTAAAAGGCGCTCGAAACAGATTGGGATCTGGAAGTCCAGAGATGCCTACGCTCAACGACCGGCACGATGAAACCAGAGACCTTGCAAGCTGCGGGCGCGCGATGTTTGAAATCATGCCTGGACCTAGTTCGTGGGACAGGTGTCCCCGCTAGTCTCGAGCCTCTGCGGCTGGAGCCACAGTGGCTCGAAACCAGTGGGGCCACTCTGCCCAGGAGCCAGAGAGTCCGGCGCCACCGCGAAAATCGCGCACTAGAGCTCCTTGGTCTCGTCGTGCTCTGTGCGCCGCCGGCGCGAGACGATCCTCGCGCGAGATCTTTACGACAGTCCCTGGATCCGGTTCGTGGGAGAGGTGTCCCTCAAGGGGCCCCAGGACACACAAATGAATCCACACAAATTAAAAAAAGATTCCCTATCTTGTCCCATACTCTCTGGGTTTTCGTCTTCCCCACCTCTTCCCATATTATCCCACATTTTCTGGGGAATCGCCGGTTAATTGCGTCTGTGTGCTTCTTCCTCTCCTGAGAGTCCCTGCTGGTCGCGGGCCTCGGCGCTTTCCCCGTGGACCGGGGGCGGGCGCGCTGCTACGGGGCTCGCGCATCCGAGCTCTTTGGCCTCCTCGTGCTCTGTGCGCCGCTGGCGCGAGGCAATCCTCGGGAGGAGGAGGAGGAGGAGGAGGAGAAGGAGATGGAGGAGGAGGAGGAGGAGGAGGAGGAGGAGGAGGAGGAGGAGATGGAGGAGGAGGAGGAGGAGGAGAAGGAGATGGAGGAGGAGGGGGAGAGCCGGCTCCGAAGCTCTCTCCGGCGCAGCAGCCGCGCGAGGGCGAGCGGGGGCCGAGGCAGGCCACACTTCTGGGCGCGAGAGGGGCTGGGCGCACAGCACGGGTGGCGCAGCCCCGAGGCGAGCGCGGGGAACAGACCTCGAGCTAAACTTATTCGGCTACACGCAGGAGTGACCCTGGGTAAGAGTGACCTTTGGTGCGCGACTTTTTGGGGGCCGCGGGGGGACCAAACCTGGGCGCGCAAGCAGCTGCTACTGCCTCGTTTTTAGCCGTCTGGGTTACAGACCTCGGGCTAAACTTATACCGTCATACATATGGTTACACGTCGGTCGGAATAAGTAGGTAAAAACATGAGGTAGGAAGGCGGATCAAGTGGATTGGGTCCAGGCCCCCCCAGAGACTAACAAAACACAGCAAAAGCGTGTCGACTCCTGAAGTAGGAAGGCGCTTGAAGTAGATTGGGATCTGGGAATCCAAAAATACCTACTTTCAAATACCCGCGTGTAAGAAAACCATCAATTGAGAAAACTGGGCCAGCTTTTCAGCAGTTTCTTAAGGAAACGCTGGGCCAGCTTCTGGAGCCAGGGACGTACGCTATCCACTTCTAGGAACCAAGGCTTCCGATACCCTTAAGAAACTGAGCCAGCTTTCCAGCAAGTTAGTTGAGAAACGCTGGGCCAGCTTATCGGGGGGAGGGTGTCTTAATCATAAGCGGGACCGTACGGGGCGCGTCCCGCCTGACTGTGCCAATGGCGCTTCTGCATGAAGATACGCCAAACATATGTGGCATCGTTTTGTTTGACCGCCACATTCCCAAATCAATGCTTGCACTGAAGGGGTCCTAGCGGAAAATGAAAGATTCGGCGAACAATTCCCGCCGATTTTGGTAGCAGACTGGGTTCCCTGGTTCCCGGTTATTGGTTCCGGGTTAGGTGGGTTCTGGGCTCCCAGGCTCCCGGGTTCCCGGACGATCTCCTCAGCGAAAACCATCCACTGATTGGGTTCTCTTGTAATTCGATAACAATTATCCCAGTGCGACCCTACCTAGGAGTTGGAGCCCCTAGGAAAGCAGCATTAGTAGTAACAGTAAAGCTAAGCTAAAGCTGAGCTGCAGCTAAGCTACAGCTAAGGTAAAGCTAAGCTAAAGCTAAGCTAAAGCTAGCTAAAGCTAAGCTAAAGCTAAGCTAAAGCTAAGCTAAAGCTAAGCTAAAGCTGAGCTATCGCTGAGCTAAAGCTAAGCTAAAGCTAAGCTAACGCTAAGCTAAAGCTAAGCTAAATATAAGCTACAGCTAAATATAAGCTTAAGCTAAGCTAAAGCTAAAGCTAAAGCTAAGCTAAAGCTAAGCTAAATCTAGGCTAAAGCTAAGCTAAAGCTAAGCTAACGCTAAGCTAACGCTAAGATGAAGCTCAGCTGAAGCTAAGCCAACGCTAAACTAAAGCTAAGCTAAAGCTAGCTAAAGCTAAGCTAAAGCTAAGCTAAAGCTAAACTAAAGCTAAGCTACAGCTAAGCTAAAGCTAAGCTAAAGCTAAGCTACAGCTAAGCTAAAGTTAAATATAAGCTAAAGCTAAACTAAAGCTAAGCTAAAGCTAAGCTAAAGCTAAGCTAAAGCTAAGCTAAAGCTAAGCTAAAGCTAAAGCTAAAGCTAAAGCTAAAGCTAAAAGCTAAAAGCTAAAGCTACAGCTCCCAAGGGACTGGGGGAACCGCGGGGCGGGGACTGGGGGAACCGCCCGGGCGCTGTGCACTGCCCGGCCCCTTTAAGCTAAGAGAGTAAGAACCCTTCTAGGCAGAGCCTAGGTAGGGAAATTGCTTCAACATGATTGTTCAAACACATGGGCTTATGATTCATTATCGGCGCACCGCCCCTGCGTTCGAAACAGCGCAGTGTCTGTTCGTCGTCCTGTTGTCTTCGTTGTCCCTTGCTCTGCCCTCGTTCCAACCCTGCTACCAAAACGGAATGCAGACGAAAGGGGTCCACGAAAGTGCCCAAACACCGTTCAGCTCGAGCCCCGTCGGGCAGCACGAGGGCCTGGAACACCTCACGGGGCCCGCAGCTGGCCGAAATTGGAACTATCCCCCCAGCGCGAGGACCGCAACATCCCCAACATCTCGCCATCGCTTGGACGTCCAGTCCTGTGCATAGTTAGTTTTCGTGCGTGTTTTTGTTTTGCTCGATTTTCGAAGATGCTCCTCGATGGGCCCCGCCGAGAGACAGTGCACACGCCCGAGCGATGCCAGGACACGAGGAGCGTCGAGCGATATCTCGGCCACCGCCCATACAGTGGAGGCCGATCCACAAGAAACCCATCGCAAGAAACCCAACCCTGAAATCCGCCGAGGTTTCTTGGTCCAGGGTTGGGTTTCTTGCACTTCGGCTGCAAACGAAGAAACCCAGGACACCCTGGCCCGAGCAGCTTCTTGACTGCTGGCGGTTGCTTGACTGCTGGCGGGCTTTCTGGCATGCGGCCCGAAATGCGCCAGCGCCCACTTGACAGACTGCCGAAACCTCGCGAGCGCATGGGCAACGCGGGACGAACAACTCGAGTGGCGGGCGAAGAAAGCCAAGGTACCCCGACTGCCCGGAGTTCATTGGAGGTTCGGGCAGCGCCCCGAGACTGACCAACGCCAAAGAAACCCAGGGAGCCTTAACTACACGTAGGGTGGTTCTTGTCATGGGCCCCCACTGTATGCGACTCGCGTGGACGGGTGGCAGCAGGCAGGCGTGGGCGTCAATGACGTCGCGGGAGCCAGTGCGCATGCGAGCAGGGTGCGGCACGAGGGCTCCCGAAGGGGCGACCCTCATGATTCAGACTGCGGGTGCTGCCAACTTTCCAGGCACGAGGTACGCCGCAGCTCGACGTCAAGGCCCAGACTTTGCCCAGGAGGGCCCCGTCGAGCGACCAGCGAGATGCAGAAGCCGCCTCCTGCCCAGACTTGGCGGCGCGCAGAAGGGGGTAGGGGGAGGGGGGAAGGCTTCTTAGAAGCAGGCTGCTTCTTAGAAGGCGCCGGCCTTACATCTATAGATCAGGCCCGCGCCTCCTAAGAAGCAGGGGTGCTTCTAAGAAGCCCTCCCCCCTCCCCCCACCCCCCTCTGCGCGTGGCTGACAGACGCTGGCCTCCTCTGGAGACCGCCTGGATGGGGTCCGCGCAGCTGGGGCCCGAGGACCTCGCCGTATCGCCGAGACACCGGCGATGCCTCGCCGATATCCAGCGGCCGATGCACCGGCCGTGCACCGGCGACGCCGGCGATGCAGCCACGACGCCGGCGTGGAGACCACCAGGCCCCACGTCGAGCCGCGTCGCCGAGGCAGCGGGCGCTGCGGCGCGAGCCTCCGAGATCCCCGGCTGCTCCGGCCCCGCCCAGGAGGCCCAGCGCCTCCCCCCTCCCGGAAGCCGGGCAAGGGCTGCTATAAATCCGTGGCTGCGAAAAGCCAGCTTCCTCCTCCTCCTCAACCTCCTCCTCCATTTCCTCCTCCTCCTCCTCCTCCTCCATTTCCTCGTCCTCCATTTCCTCCTTCTCCATTTCCTCCTCCTCCTCCTCCTCCTCCTCTTCCTCCTCCTCCTCATACGTTTCCTTTTCCTCCTCCTCTTGCTCCTCCTCCTCCTCCTACTCCCCCTCCTCCGGGAAGTTGTCTCCGTCCTTGCGGGAAGAAACCCGTTGACTGCTTCGCGCGCCGCGCCTCATTCCGGGAAGTTTCTTCTTCCTTCCGGGAGGGCCGCTTTAGCAGCCACGGTTTTAGCAGCCCTCGCCCAGCTCCTCGATCCTCTCTCCCACCCCTCCGCCCCCGGGCCCACCCTCTGCCCGCCCCCTCCGCCTCCCCACCCGCGCCCCCGCCGCCGCGGGCGCTCCGTCGCCCTCTCTGCCGTCGCGCCGTTGCCGCCGCCGCCCGGGCCTGCCTGGCTGCCTGGCTCTCTCCACCGGGGCCTCGGGCCCCTTCCGGGGGCGCGCGCGCGAGGCCCACCGTGGGCCCCCCGGCATCCTCTCCAGCACCCCCGGCTCGCCACTTCCGGCCCCCATCCGACGCCGCCGCCCCGGCGGGAGAGAGCCGAGGAGGGCCGAGGAGAGATGGCATCCTCCGTGCCTCTCCGCCCCCCTCCCCCCTCCCCCCCTCCTGCTCGTCTCCCCCCCTCTCCCCCCCCCTCCTCCTCCCTCCTCCTCCCCCCTCCTCCTCCCTCCTCCTCCTCCTCCTCTCCTCCTCCTCCTCCTCATCCTCCTCCTCCTCCTCCTCCTCCGCCTCCTCCTCCTCCTCCTCCTCCTCCTCCTCCTCCTCTCCTCCTCCTCCTCCTCCTCCTCCTCCTCTCTCCTCCTCCTCCTCCTCCTCCTCCTCCTCCTCCTCCTCCTCCTCCTCCCTCCTCCTCCTCTCCTCCTCCTCCTCCTCCTCCTCTCCTCCTCCTCCTCCTCCTCCTCCTCCTCCTCCTCCTCCTCCTCCTCCTCCTCCTTCTGCTCCTCATGTGCGCTGGGCTGGCCGAGGAGAGAGGGCCGTGGGGTCCGGGTTGCTCTGCAGGAGGCCCTTCACGAGGGACTTCATGCCTGTGTCCGCCTGGCCGCGTGCGGCACAGGGGGGCGGCGGAGGCCTCAGGGAGGAGAACAGGAGGAGGATGTGGGCCACGCGTCCGCGCCTGGCACTCCCTCACACACACACAAACGGTTGGCGGAGGGACCTGGGGAACGTCACCCTACCCGGGAGAAGGAAAGGGCCTTGTCGCCAGCGAAGCTCAAACTAACTCACACCCGTGGGCCCATATTCGCTCGAGTTCCCTTTTCGACTAATGAGATCGCGCCAAAATCAATTCCCCCGGGACAACACAGAGCATCCCCACAGGAACCCCTTATCGAAACACTGCCGGGACACTTCAATCAAATCATCGGACACCACACCATAGTTGCCGGAACACCATCGGGACACCACGGACAATTCGCCAGGGCACCACGACAAGTTCATCGGGGGGGCACTATCTAAAATCATCTGAAACACCAAGGGGACACAATCTGGACAAAAATCAATCGGACACCAGCGGGACACGAAAACCAATACCAGAGACCTCCCAGATGGTGTCGGAGTAGAAGGGGTCGGAGGATCGCACCGCATCGTTGATGAATCACCGATGCATCGGCGATGCATCCGCGACGTCAGCGATGCGTCGATCCACGACGTCGGCGATGCATTGGCGCCGTCGGCGCGGAGAAACTCTGGTTCTAGATAGAGCCGCATCGTCGATGCGGAGCGATTCTCCGACCCCACTTACTCAGATCCCACGTGGGACGTCTACACATGTTTTTTGTTTGATCCGCGGGTCGAGAGCGCACCTCTTCCGGTCGAAGCTAAGCGGGCGGGACGTCTACACATGCAACGTCGGGACTGCATCGAAACCAAATCGGGACACCATCGCGGACACCACCGGGAATCCCACACCGCCAGGGCACCAGGCGCCCGATGCCCACCGGAGCTGGAGCAGAAGCGAGGGAGGAATGCGGTCTCCCACCGCCCACCCTACGGTGAGGGCAGTGGCAAAGAGAACCTTTGATCAGGAATCCAGGGTCTGAAAGTGGTGGAACACCAATCGAGGCTTGGACAAGGATCTCACCGTCGCCCGTCGCCCTCATCAGATATGGTAAGGAATCCCCCAGGGTCTGATACCTCTTGGACACATTCCTTAACGAACGCCCCTACCGTAGCGACCCCGAAGAACTCGCGCACAGCTTCGCACGCACGTCATGCTTCGAACCCAACCGCTGACGAGATCTGCTCACAACGAGAAGCGAAACGGAAGCCGAACGAGCGAGCGGGGGAAGTGGGGGGGAGAGAGAGGAGAGCGCGCCGCGCCGCGAAGACTCGGGCCCGAGCGCCCCGACCGCGGCGCGACACGACCACGAACGAAGATCTTCCCGGTGGGGGTCTCCTTCGCAGAAGCTCTCACACGCCCCACCTCCAACGTGTTGCAGGTTGGAGGTGCAAAGCCCTGCGAGGCCGCACCGCCCAAACCTCGAGCTACGAGAGGCGCTTCTGTGGCGTGCCGTGCAGGGGGCTGTGTTTGCGCGATGCCCGGGGGGCCGGGGGCCCTGCGGAGGACTAGGCCGCACCCTGCCAAATGCGGGCACTCTCGCGCGGTACCCCGACGGTGCCCAGATTCCGCCCGCGCGGGGTCGCGCCAGATGTCCCGATGTTGGAACTGAAACTGAAAAAAAGACGGAAAACTTCCCGAATACTGGATATGCTGCACAGCACACTGCTAGCACGGAATGACGCCTACGCCCACACACACACACAGCACCGCGAAGCGAACGAAAACAACGGGCGGCAGAAACGCTCGGCGAACGAGCTCTACCTCGTCGCATCACCTTGTCTGCACCACTGGCTGCTGCCCGATTGCAGCAATGTCTCGATATTGTCCTGGTGATTTTATGATAGTACCTCGATGGATGGTGACATGGTGGTATGCTGGTGGTCCCTAGATGTTCACCTGGCTGTTGTCCCGGTGGCTTGCTGATGCTGCCTGGATGGGTTGGCCCAAACATGAATCGGATCAGTATTGCGTATGTGGGCATCGAATGTGAGACCGAATTGCACAAACTTAACCTGTCTGTGCATCAAATGCGACGCGACGCAGTGTGAGATACATGTGACACAACGTGAAACATATTCGGCTCAACCCTACGTAGATCCAAGTGTAATCCAAATGTGCTCTAACTGTTGATTAATTGACCGAAGCCAACTGTGAATCGAATACGAACCCCATGTGGGTTCCCGTGAACCGCAGATAAGCCACATATGATCGAAATCCAAATCAACTGTGCATCCTGCGACTCGAATGAGAATCAACTATGAAGTGATTGTCGGTCAAATGTGATCCCAATGTGGATCAGGTGGGAGGGGGGCTTACTACGCGGCGCTACCTGATTGTGGGTCAGGACGTGAATCACACGTGTACCACGTAATCAACTTCATGGCAAGCAGAGACTGATGATTGAGATCGGAATCAACATGACTCGCACCATCTGGTGATGCATCAAGCGGGGATAATGTCATGAGACGTGCGAATCAAATGACAATTAATTAATCCTGAAACATCCTTCTCACCAGTTGGCAGGCCTTTCGGATAAACATGTGTTCTGGATGCTACAACTCCGTGCGCCGCAACTCGGAGCCCTGCCTCGAAACCATCGCTTGGAAACGCACGGAGACTGGAGTGAACGCAGCGCGGGACTGGCCCCAGAGTGCGACGGCCTCTACCCGGTACCCGCGCTGGGAAGCAATGGAGGCTAGCAAGAACCATCCCCCTCCTGCTCCGCCTCATCCTCATCCTGGTTTCCCTCCGGCTCCTCCTGCGCCCCACTTCCCTCTTCTTCTCCCATCGCTCTCCTCCACTCTGGAACGCATTTACTTTGGCGTTGCGACCAGCGCTTTCGGACACCAGCTCTCTCCTTGCGCGTTTCACCTTGCGGCAGGGCGCCGTCGAGCTAACGCTGAAACGCATACAGTCAGAACGAGGTAACCGTGCAAACCAGTTTTTGTTGCACAACCCTGCAAAAACGATGCGACCATGCGACGCGCACCCGAACTGCTGAAAAAGCGGCGGGGTGCGAACCGGGCTCCAGCAGCAGGCTTTTACGTGTTGGCTCGAATGTGTTCGACCCCCGGAGCAGCCCCCACTTCTGTCCTGACCCGCGTCCACGGGGCTTACGGTATGCCACGCTTGAGCTCCTGACAGACCCAAGAGGGCTCGTGTCATACACATTCCTCAATCCGTGCTTGCACTCAAGGGTTCCTAGCGGAGGTTGAAGGGTTTGGCGAACATTTCCCGCCGATTTTGGTCGCAAGCTGGGTTCCCAGGTTCCCGGTTCACGGCTCCCGGGTTCCAAATTCCTGGGCCGATTTCGGTGAACGGCGAGGTTCCCAGGTTCCCGGGTTCCCTGTCGATCATCTTATCGATCGGTCTCAGCATCGATCTCATTTCCCACGTCACCATCGATCTCACCATCGATCTCACAATCGATGGCACAATCGATCTCGCAAGCGATCTCACTAGAGATCGCACGAGCGATCTCGCGATCGATCTCCCTATCGATCTCATTGAATCGGTTTCACTCTCGGTCTCACGATCGAGCTTACAATCGTACTCTATCGATTCCACTATCGATCTCAGTGTCGATATCACAATCGATATCAAGATCCATATGACTAATTTTCACATCATCCCCTGAATGGGCTTTCTCAGGAATAATATACACAATTTGTCCCTAATCATTGCTTGCACTGAAAGGGGTCCTAGCGGAGGTTGAAAGGTTTGGCGAAAATTTCCCGCCGATTTTGGTCGCACGCTGGGTTCCCAGGTTCCCGGTTCACGGCTCCCGGGTCCAAAACCTGGGCCGATTTCGGTGGGCGGCGAGGTTCCCAGATTCCCGGGTTCCCGGTCGATCCTCTTATCGATCGGTCTCAGCATCGATCTCATTTCCCACGTCACCATCGATCTCACCATCGATCTCACAATCGATGGCACAATCGATCTCGCAAGCGATCTCACTAGAGATCGCACGATCGATCTCGCGATCGATCTCCCTATCGATCTCATTGAATCGGTTTCACTCTCGGTCTCACGATCGAGCTTACAATCGTCCTCTATCGATTCCACGATCGATCTCACTATCGATATCACATTCGACCTCAAGATCCATATTACTAATTTTCACATCATCCACATGACTTTGAGAGATGCTCGAAGCAGATTGACGGTTGACGATGTGAACGATGGCCCCTACAAGCGATACCCTGCCAGACGTCGGTGATTTCCCGCATAGCTGCAACAGAAGGAAAAACAAGGTAGGACCAGGAGAGCGCAGATAATGCCGAGGACGACGAAACGGTACAGCTACCCAGGAGAAGGGTTGGAAGGCCAGAGCGAATCACAGAGAAGACGAGGGCAGGAGCGGAGGCGAGAAATGAACGACGAGGGGAAAGCAAAGGAGGCAGGCGGAAAGCAGGGGGAGGAGGAAAGAGGAGCAAGGGAGGAAGGACGAAGAAGGAGGAGCAAGGAAGGAGCAAGGGAGGAATGAGGATGAGGAAGGAGGAAGGAGGAGCAAGAGGAGCAAGGGAGGAAAAAGGAGCAAGGAAGGAGGAAAGAGCGAGGGAGGGGAGATTGGGAGAACCTCCTGGGACATCCTGACCGGCGCGATGCAAAACTGTGAAGCCCGACGGGGGCGCATGGCTGAGCTGAGCGAAGGATTAAACAAGACTGCGCCAGGTTGAGCCGTGCTGAGCAGGATGAAACCAGCCTGGGCTAGAGAAGGCAGGATGCACGACCCCAGGGCCGATTCTCCCTTCTATCTGTTCTGGGAGTGGCGACCCGAGAGCGAGGGGCACCCGTGGGACGAAGAGGAGAATACGCCATCCGCCGGCCCCCGCTTGCCGGGGGCGAGGAGGCGTGTGAGATGCTGGGCTGGCTCTGGGTCGGATATGTCCCCCTACAGGCAGACATGGGAGGATTTTGAGATTGAAAAAATCAGAGGAAGATCCAAAACGTAGGGGAAACAACTAAACAACGTCCCCAGAATATGTTTCACTTTTTTGCGGATTCCTCCTGTCGAGGGACGTGCCCGACTTAAGGCTGGCTCCCTCCCCATAGGTCACCTCGCTTCGCGCATCGCCCCTCGCGGTGCGCAGCCCGCGGTGCTCTTCGCACCCTCGCTGGGCCGCCTTTTGGAGAAGGACGCCTCGCCAGCCCGAGCCGCGCGGCGCGAAGCGCGACTATCTTCGCGCCCCGTCCTCCTCCTCCTCCTCCTCCTCCTCCTCCTCTTCCTCCTCCTCCTCCTCCTCATCCTATTCCTCTTCGCGCGACTATATCTTCGCGACTCTAGGAGGAGGAGGAGGAGGAGGAGGAGGAGGAGGAGGAGGAGGAGGAGGTCCAGATAGCCCCGGGGGTGACTCAGGGCCCTCTCCCCCCCCCCCCGGTCCCATCCCTGGGAGCCCAGAGCCCTGCTCAGGGTGGGAGAGGGGAGCTGGCAGCGCAGAGAGGCAGCGCACGGGATCCTCATCATACCCTCAGGGCCCTCGGGGACTCCAGGTCCGGTCCCCGACGCCCCCCGGAGGCAAACGACGCCTCGGAGGACGGCCCAAGAGGGGCTCCAGCACGCCAAAGGAGCCTCGGAGGGCAACTCGAGAGGCACTGAGGAAACCCAAGACAATCCAAGGAGGTCCCCAAAAGGGGCCCCCAACACCCCAGGTCAATTGGAAAGCCTGTGCTTTTTTGTTCGGAGGCCGATTGCTATCTCGCCGTATTGCTGCCAGACGCCTCCAGGAAGGTCCTGGAGACAGTCAGAAAGCCCCCAGACAGCCCGAGATGCCCCAGTGATGGCCCAAATGCTACCCCGAAGCGCTCCTGGCTGGCTTCTACGCGGGAGGCCCGAGCGAGCCCCAAAAGAGCTCCCAGCGAGCCCCAAAGGGCTCCATCTGGCGGCGCGCATCAAAAGGGGGGGTAACGGGAGGTGGGGAAGGCTTCTTAGAAGCACCCTGCTTCTCAGAAGGCCCAGGCCTTACGTCTGTAGAGAAGGCTGGCGCCTCCTAAGAAGCAGGGGTGCTTCTAAGGAGCCTTCCCCCTCGCCCTACACCCCCCTCTGCGCGTGGCCGATCCATCACGAATCGTACAAGGCCCCATAAGGGCGGCCCAGACGTCCGGGCACTCTCGCGAATCGAAGTCACAGCCCCCACCAAACACACACTGTTGGGGAAACGTTCGTGGTAAGTCCCTCCTGGAGGCCGTCCATGAGCCCCGCAACACGCCAGCATTCAATAACCGGTCGATCATACGGCCAATCCCTTTCGGGGGTGGGCAGACTGCCGTGAGCCTCTTAAGTGAGAACAGATCACGAAGAGAACATAACCAAGGGGCGAATTATCGACACTAAAGATGCATAAGGGAGTAGCAGCTCGAAGGATTGGGACTAGCACGGGGCACATACGACGAGCGTTTTTTTCTGGACTGTGGGCCTAGCAAGACATGTGCCTACTCCCAACAGCACGGGTGCTGCCGCCCAAATTCACCGCCCGCTTGGGGGTACTGGGCGTGTGATATACTTGCCTCCCCCCCCTTCCCCCGAAAAGTCGATTCAGCTGATTCGAATTGTGGGGGGGGGGGTCTGGCGGTTCGGTCGCCCGGAATCGCCCAAGCATATCCAAGATGAACCGAGTTGGCTCCAGATGGCCTCCAGGATCGCGCTGGACGGTCAGACTGTGTTCGAGATGGCCGCCAGAATTTCTCCGAAGAGGCCGCAAGGCAGCCCCGATGCCCGCTCGAGGTGGCCGAGAAGCGCCTCTACTGTGCCCCCGAGAAGCCAAACTCGTGCAACACCCCATGATTGCTCAACACCTGTTGCTGACCAGGCTTCTCTGCAGAAGATGACCGCGGGGGTGCTCGAGAAGGCCCCAAGACGGGCCAGAGACGGCCTCGAGTAGGGCCCAAGGGAGCCCCAAGACGGCCCAACAAGGGTGCCACAACGGCAGGGGCGCCGAGATGGCCGAGAGGGCGCAGAGACCCCAAGGTGCAAAGATGGCAGCCAAAGGGGGCACAATAAGCTCTCGAGAGGCCCCCATACAAGCCCCCAAGACGCCAACAGGAGGCTCCCAGTGTAGCCCAGCAGGGCCCATTTGGGCCACGGTTTTGGGCTTCCTGCGCTATCGCGCAGCACCAAGCGACTCCAACGACAACGCGCGTGACACGTCCCAGGAGAGGCATCCAGGGTCCCAGGGGCGTGGGCGGATGTGGCGAATGCCAATGACTCGAAGCGCGCAAACCAACAAGCGCCTAGCGTGGTATTAGGGAGAACTGCCACAGCAGACGAGCAGCGATGGGCTGCAGCTACCAGCTGACCCAAGAGCGGTCTGAGCACTGAACATCACTAATTCTGCGAGGCGCCATTCCGAACATTTGGAAGCTTGCGTTCACGCCTAGCGAGCGCCTCCGTTGTTTGGGTAGTCCAAATCCGTTGTTTGGCCGAGGCCGCTTCCCAGAGAACGTCCAAAGTGCAGCACAACTAAACACTCGCAGCTACACCTAGGCCTTGATATCAAACTGCTTGGCGTAGAAGCCTTTCTCGGTGGCCGCTCGCACGGTGATCTCTGGGTCGAAGCCAGTCTTCTTGATCCAGTCGTCATCCATCATCTTGCTCATGTAGTTCCTGGAAGAGTCCGCGAAGAGCACTGCGACGCGCTTGCCGGCGCCGACGCCGTTCTCCTTGATGAAGCGGATCGCACCCGCCATCGTGGAGCCGCAGCTGCTCCCGATCAGCAGGCCCTCGTGCCGAATAATGGCCCGCATGGCCGCGAATGCCTCATCGTCGTCGGTCTTTACCCAGTGGTCCACGACGCTGCGGTCCAGCACGGTGGGTATAAAGTCATAGCCGATGCCCTCCACCTGGTAGGCTGCCAACTTTTTCTGCCCCGTCCTGGGAGACCCCTCGTTCACGTGCGCCGGTTCGGCCAGGATGCTGCCGTGTGGATCCACGGCTACGATCTTGACCCCCGGGATCTTCTCCTTCAGTTTTTTCGCCGTTCCCGAGACAGTGCCGCCAGTGCCCGCGGACATAATCATGTAGTCGAGCTTGCCACCTGTCTGCTCCACGATCTCCTCACCAGTACCGTCGTAGTGGGCCAGCGGATTGCCAGGATTGAGGTACTGGTCCAGGACGTGGCCATTCAGCTCCTTGGCAAGCCGGGCGGACAAGAAGATGTGGGAGTCCTCGGCGTCCCAGGCCGCCTCGGTGGGCGTGCGAAGGATCTCCGCCCCGAGACACTTCATGGTGTTCACCTTCTCTCCGGACATCTTCTTCGGGAGGCAGATGATCATCTTATAACCTTTGAGTGCCGCGGTGAGCGAGAGGCCGATGCCTGTGTTGCCGCTGGTGGCCTCGATCAACACATCACCTGGTTTGATGCGCCCGCTCTTCTCGGCCTCCTCCACCATACGCTTCGCGATCCGGTCCTTCACGGAGCCACCCGCGTTGAAGAACTCGACCTTTGCCAGCACCTCACAGTCGATATCGAAGAACTTAGCGAGGCGCGACATGCGGACCATGGGCGTGAACCCGATGAGGTCGAGCGCAGAGTCGCAGATCTCGGAGTAGGCCCGCGGCTGCTTCTTCCCCGTCGTCAGCTTGCTGACCTGCTCCGTCAGGTTGGCGTCCCAGCCGTCGTACTTCGGGGCGGAGATCTCTCCCTCCCGGGCCCCGCTGTACGGAGTGTTCTGCATCTCGCGGGCCCGCGCCACGATCGGGTCCACGGCGGCGGAGAAGGCGCGCCCCGGCGCCGCGCGGGCGGCGAGCGGCGCACGGCAGGTCGCGCGCGCAACGGAGAGCATGGCTGCCGGGCGGGCACGCCTGGGAGCGCGAGGTGCCCAAGGGAGGCCGAAGCCTGGCTCGCTCGAGCGGTCGGAGCGGCCCGGCCCCCGACGGCTGGAGCCAAAACGGCTGCGGGGAGTGCGCAGGGTGAGCGCAGCAAGCTGCGCCATGTGAGCGTTCCACCGGGCGCAAGCCACTGGGACCTCCCGCGGCCCCTCCCCATCCTGCTCCAGAGGGTCATCGAACTCCCCGACCTGCTGGCCCCCCTTGCTATACCATGGCCGCTCAGCTCCGCTCCTGCACCACACCACCAGGAAATGATGGTCATCCTCGTGCATCCTCCCCCCCTCCTGCCACTGATCAGGTCCGCCCTGCAGACTCCCCCAGAGCCACCCTCCACATGAGGTGGGCGTGGCGAAGGTGGAAAAGAAGAGCTATGCTCTCGGCACATGCCTCCCCCTTCCATCCTCCTGAGTATCATCCCTCTCCTCCTCCTCCTCCTCCTCCTCCTCCTCCACCTCCTCCTCCTCCTCCTCCTCCTCCTCCTCCTCCAACTCCTCCCCAGAGCCTAACAGACCCAGAGCCAAAGACATTGCAGTAACTTGAAGGGGCCTGTGCGGACAACCTTCAGGGACACGAGGAATTAATGAAAACAGAAATTGTAGAATACAGGGCTTGGTGGTAGGTGCGGCAGGGAGAAAGAAACTGAGAGCAGGGAAAAGTGAGTACAGAGAAAAGGAGATATGGACGCAATGGTATGGCATGAGGGCAACGCTTGGCCATGGGAGACTTAATGCGGCTGAGGGCACCGTGGCAGGGAATTTGATCCTCCCTGTCAAGATGTTCTGGTAGACCTGCGGGATCCAGCACTGTCCCTGACTCCATTATTATGTTTGTCTCTCTCGCTCTCTCTCCATCGTTCTGTCTCTCTTTCTCTTTGTTTATCTCTCTCTCACTCTCTCTCTCTCTCTCTCTCGCTCTCTCTCTCTTTTCCTCTCTACCAGTATCAGCAACGTTGGTTGTTTTCACTCTCTCTCTCTCTCTCTCCCCCCCCCCCTCTCTCTCCCTCTCGCTCTCTCGCTCTCTCGCTCGCTCTCTCTCTCTCTATCCCTCTCTCGCTCTCTCTGTATCTCTTTCTCGTTTCTTCCTCTATCGTTCTCGTTTGATCATCTCTCTCCCTCTCTGTCTGTATCTCTTTCTGATTTTCTAGATGCCGTCATCTTCCAATATCTCTGCTTCCCCCCCTCGTTCTCTCCCTAGCTGTCACCCTGATCTGCTCCCCTGAATCTCTCAATATCTGGCACTTCCTCTCTCTCTCTCTCGCTCTCTCTCTCTCTCTCGTTCTCTATCTCTATGTCTCTACATCTGTATATGCATATGTTTGCACACTTGCGCAGTCATTGACTATTACATCAATATCACGATCGCCTCTCCCTTGATCCCGAATGTATATGCAACTGCCTGGTTCCCAGTGCATGTTCTCTCTCTCTCTCTCTTTCTCTCTCCCTCTCTCTTTCTGCAACCACCCCTGCCATCTCTCATTTTCTCTGGCACGTTCTATCTCTCCCTTTCCCTCTTATTCTCCACCTCGCTCTCTCTCTCTCTCTCTCATAACTAGTTGTCCTCTCCTTCTCTTTCCCTCTCCTTATTTCCACCCACTTTTGAAAGAGGTACTCATCCTTTCCTGCCCTATCTCATTTTTCCCACGGTTGTTGCGATTGTTCTCCGACCTCCGCCGTCTAAGCCGTTCAGGGAAACGGGGCGGCACGCTCGAAGCACTCCGTTTGGTGTGTCCCTCTCAGAGGGACCTGATGGCATTCGCGGTCGACGTTCTGGCGCTCTGATCGCACAAAAGCGCTCTCTCCAAGCTCGGATTCAGCCAACCTTCCTCAACGTCGGCTGGGGGCATCACGAGGTTCCGCAAACTCTGTCCACCAACGTGTATTCATGTGACACAAATTGCAATACAGTACCTTTCTCTCGCTCTTTTTCCGTGCTCCCGGCAACAATGCCTCCATCGTTCCTGACGGTCTGCGAGCAGCACACCCTCTTCCGTCTCGTGCAGCAATGCGTATATCCAACAGACGGGAAGTATGGCCCGCTTCCGCGATCCAGACCTCACCCATACTCTGCACAGTGCTCGGTCCCGAGCTGTGGTTGTTGGAGCAGGCTCGCACTGGCCATCGCTTGGACGTCCATTCCCTGTGCATTTTTCAGTTTCGTGCGTGGCTTTTCGCCAAATGATCAAGGATGCTCCCCGATGGCCCTCGCCGAAGGAAAAATGCACACGACCGAGCGATGCCAGGCGCAGGAACTCCCAGCACGAGGTTGCGGCTCGCGAGAAGCAAGCACACAACATGATGCCGACGACACAACCGCTTCGGCAACGGTACGCTCGGTCGGCGGAGTCAGCGCCGGAATCGGGCACAGAGGACTCACGCGAGTTGGTCGATCAAATGAAGAACGTAACTTGTTAAGTCCCGTCCTACAGTCGGGGCGTTGACCTAAGGAACGATAGATAAGGAACGAGGCCCCTTTTTTCCCAAATAGTAAGCTCCGATTTCCCATGGGAAACCTCAGGAAAACCCAAGGAGCACGGGTAAAGCAACTAGGGAACACGGAGCCCCTCCCCAACAAAAAGGGTTCCTTCTTCAGGGCCCCGACTGTACGGTCATCGGCACCGTGGGCATACATGATGCCAAGAACACTGAGTTGATGCTCCAACGACCCGTGCTGCCATGCCCACCCACCCAGCCCGGAGCTGTGAAGCAGGCAGTGTGCTTCCTCCTCCATGCTCGTCAAGGCATCAGGATACACACAGGCGGAAGCATGAGGCCAATTTCGGGAATGGGTATGGAATCGGAGGAGCCATCGAAATCTACGAGCCTACATCTCCACATGCCTTACCACCCTGTGGAAACGTAGGACAACAGCCTACTGGTCTGCGTGTGCCACGAGGCGCTACCTTTGGAGTTCGACTGCTGTGGTTCTCCTGATGGCAGGTCTAAGCAATCTCCGCCATGCTCTGTCTTTCCCTGTCCCTCCCCATTGCGCAAGGAAGGCCGTCCAGTTGCTTCCGCTAGAATGGCGGCGTGGGATTTACGATTGGAATGAACCGATCGTGCAGACAAGATTGCCTGCAATGCTTGGGGGTGACACATAACCCTACCGTGCTGTTTTCGGATGCGAGGGGGTGATGTCGCAATGAAACGGAGAGACCCCCACCGGGAAATCGCTTTTGGTTTCGTGCTCGTGTCGTGCCTGCGAGGCAAAACTGCTGGGCGGGCAAGAAGAATGAACCCTCCTCTGGCTAGGGCGCCACCGGACCAAAAGACGCCCACACCCCGTTTGGCCGTCGGTTGCCAGGGGTGTCCCGTCGGGGTGTCCCGCCCGTGTCCCGTCGGTGTCCCGTGGGCGTCCCGTCGGTGTCCCGTAGCCGTCAGTGTCCTGTGGGTGTCGCGCAATTTGTCCGATAGTGAAATCGATCGTGCGACCGATAGTGAGATCGATGGTGAGATCGATAGTGAAATCGATCGTGAAATCATTACTGAAACTGATCGTGCGATCGATAGTGAGATCGATAGTGAGATCGATAGTGGGATCGACAGTGAGATCGATAGTGAGATCGATCGTGAAATCGATAGTGAGATCGATAGTGAGATCGATAGTGAGATCGATCGGGAAAACTCGACAGAGAGATCGAATGTGATGTCCCGTCGGTGTCCCGCCAGTGCTTGGTAGGGAGATCGATAGTGAGATTAATAGTGGGATCGATATTGGGACCGATAGTGAGATCGATAGAGGGATCGACGGTGTGACCGATAGTGAGCTCGACAGTGAGACTGATGATGAAATCGATAGTGAGGTCGACAGTAAAATCGATGGTGAGATCGATTGTGTGAGACGCTGGTCCCCCCCCCGAACCGCGTTGTCACCCGGCGGGTGGTCTTATAGGTGTAGAGCCTGAGCTCTCACGCCACACCGCGTGTTGGAACATCAGTGCTGCACCTTACCACTAGTTGTAAATCCTGGGATTTGGAAGCCCAAAATGAGTACGAAGAAATGGGCACGATGCCCGACAACAAATGTTGCTCCAAAGCGATAGCGGCTGCTGTTGGTCAGGCGGCGCTGCGTCTTCAGTGTGCAACGTCCGCGGCGGCGCGGACAGCGAGTCCTGTTGAAAATGAGCCGGAGCTGCTGCTGGGCACCGTACCCATCACTTCCGTACCCCTTCCGATCGTCCCGGTGCAGGCCCGTGGAAGGCTCCAGCCGGCCACAGAGGAAGGTCCGCTCTGCATCCCGGAGCCCTTCCCGCCTCGGTCTGCGACTTGCTCGTCTTGGCTGCTCGCTGGCGACCAGCGACCGTGCCATCGCGCTCGGACGGCCATTCCGCGTGCCTGTGTTGGCTTCGCGAGTCTATTTTTCGCGAGAGGACCCAGGATGCTCCTCGCTGGGGCCCGCCGAGGAAACCTGCAAACGTCCCGACGATGCCAAGCGACCGTTCCGTACGCATTTCTCCACAAGAGGTTAGAGCCATGCTGTACGCGGCCGCCGCCCTCGCGCCGGAGTTCCTGCTTAGCTTCACCAGAGTCAGAACGGTGAGACTTCGCATCGGCCGAAATCTGAAGATGCTCGCACTCCCGGGCCCCGCAACAGGCGTCCGATGCTAAAGCTAACGTTTGAATTTCGTGGGCGTGGTCTTTAGAGTATGGTCAGAGGCTCGATCCAGATTATGACCAACCACATGCGAGTTGAACCAAATCGGACGTGGTACCGACTACCGCCCCGTATCATCTTTCGTACTCGTGGAATATGGAAGACCGTACTTCGGCTAGCTGTGTTTATGCAGTGTACCGCTGGGACGACACCCCCATCGGTTTAATCATCTCGCTTCGTCACGGGACAGCTCGACCTTTGACCACTTCCAGAACCAGGAGACGGTACCTCTGTACGTGTTCCCCTCGGTGGAGAGAAGGTATTTCCTTCCAGATGGCAGCCAGTGCTGTGCGAAAGCGGGGCGCAATTGCCTGCGTAGTTTCGTCAAATCCGCGAACGCCCTAGGAACGGCTGGATATCCCATCGTGAGCAGAACGACGCGTTATCTTTTACGTGCTACTGCTGTATCGTGCGGAGTCTGTGACATGAATGCTGCGGCTGAGATTGAAGCATCACATCGGACCTCGAGCCTCCTCTAAACGATGCGTGGATTCGATGTGCGTGCCCGCTACTGTGTATCTCGATTGTTGTTGCAGACGATGATCAGGCATATGAGCACTGTAATGCAGACGCGATTGGCAGAGCGCGGAGAGAGGTTGCCCAAAGCATTGTGACGCGTCTAGGGTCGGATCAGGTGCTAGTCGAATGAGGGAAGGAGTGCTAGTCTTGGACTCCACCTAGCTACTTCAAAGTCTCGGTTAATGATATACATATCTATATATACACATACATATGAATGTGTATATACGTATAAAAAATAATCGACCATGTAAGCCTACTGTTCGTTCTCGTTTCGGGCAAACTCGTGAGAGTCCAGTATCCAAGCCTGCCAGTACAGGTCACCGCTTCCTGGATCCTGGACCTTGCCCTGGAGCTCCACATCCTAGGCTACCCCACCAGCCTCATCGTAGGTCTAATTCAGGCGTGTCGCTGGTCCGTGGCAATCCAGAGGAATCAAGCGGTTTTACGTGCTCGGCGTCATCACTTCTTTCCGCGTTTCATGCCGTGCTCCAACATGGGAGCCGATGGTCGTCGCCAGCAGTAGATCAAGACCTACGGTGGCCGTGGTGGGAACAACCGCAAGCGCAATAACTTCGGCACGCCTTCAGGAGGCGATCGTGCTCCTCATCGTCGCAAAAAACGTCGGAGGCGTGATGACAATAATGATCGCGATCGGGACCGTGACTACCATCGCCGCCACAGCCCAAACAAATGCAGCGACGAGAACCGTGATCGGGATGATCGAAAATCTCGCGACGTTCGGGATGCAGGGGCCTACCATGACTACCGGGACTACTGGGAGGTTCGAGGACGGGGATCGGATCGTGACGAACGCGGGGTTGGCTCGGGTGGCTCTGCCCGTCGTTCTCGCTCGTCGTCCCGCAGGAGGTTCGAGGTACAGCGCCTCAGGGAGGAGCTCGCTCAGATGGCCCGGTGTAGGAGGCCTTCGCTGAAGACTGGACGGATCGGGCGGAGGAGATGCAGCTCGGGAAGCAGGGAAAGCACGCGGTGCAGGCAACAACATCCAGTTTCGGAGACAAGCTCGCGAAGCTCTTGGAGACGTCAGGCTCGACGGATGGGAACCTCGACCAAGCCCACCAAGGATCCTGATCGCGAGGAGAGCCCTACCCGAGTTGCTGAATCTCCAGACTCTAAGGCCCTCTTGAAGCGCCCAGAAGTAGGTTGGTTGCAATCCCTTGTGGGCCCCAAGAAGAAGCTCCCGTCACGCATCTCGTGGGCACAGCAGCCTCGATTCTGGAGGAGTCGATTCGTGACAAGGCAATCGTAGGGATGGTGAACAAGTGTATCACGTCCCAATTTCCTAAGAAGGCTGTCCCAGTTTCTAACGCCAAGCGGGTAAGACTCATCCTCGGCATCATCAATGGCAGCATTCTCTGAACCTCGGGCCTCAGGACTTCCTCCGCTGGTCCAGACTCGGACGGAAATGAGTTGCTCCCACCAAAGACCTTTCGGTCCCTAGATGGTGTCGGGATGGTTTAGGTAGCAATTACCTTTCTCGGAGGGTTCCTACTTGGGTGTGTTGTATGGCTCGGGCTGACATCCACAGAATGGAAAATGATCCAGGCATTCCATGCCGAACTCACCCTCAGTTTGATCAATTCCCGCGAGGCAAGTTTCGTGCAGGATGTTGTGAATTCGCTGGATCTTCCGTTCACAGTTGCCAATATCAAAAAACAGGCGGTGCTAAAGCATGTGATGACGGGTATGGCTGGCGCAGCCATCCCTCTCTTTGCAGGGTGCGTGCCAATCGTGAATACCCTAAGGTTTGCACCCCGCCCCAATCCACCCACTTCCCGTCACAAAAGAAAAGTACGGACCATTTGCGAAGCTTTCGCGGACGAACCCACGTCAGAGGGTCGTCGGTGAGGCTAAGTCGTGGCTGACCTTTCCCCCTCGACCTATATAGTACCATCCCATATCCTCCATCTTCCCCTCGACCAGGTAAAGCAACGGTGCCTTCATTTCCTTCCCGGTGAGTGGTCAAGCTCACACCGAGATGGCACCCAGTCCCCTTCACGCATCCAGTGGGAACGCAGCTTGGGAGCGTGTGCGTGGTTTGTTGTGTACATTTCATGAACATCTTTCCCGTTCTAATCATCATCTCGCCCTCCTCCCCTCATTCAATCAATTTTTGTTTGAGCGTCATGGAATTAGGTGGGCCACCATCGCAACCGCCAGACCTTGACCTGCTCGACCAGGCGTGCTGTGAGTTCGTCAAGGCCATGCCCGTTTGGGCGTCGCTCTCTCTCTCTCTCTCTCCTTCTCTGTCCACCAACCCTTGGGAGTTAGATATCCTTCCCTGCTGTATCTCACATTCGCCACGCTTGCTGCAATTACTCTCCGACCTTCGCCGTGTTTCACTCGGACCGTTCAGGGAAACGGGGTGCCCACGGCACGCTCATAGCACTCAGTTTGGTGTCTCCCCGTCAGGGGGACCTGATGGTATTCGTGTTCGACGTTCTGGTGTTCTGATCGCAGAAAGGGGCTCTCTCTCTCTCCGTGCTTTTCCGGATGCCGTTAACTCCTAATCCCTCTGCGCTTCCCCTCCTCGTTCTCTCCCTAGCTGTCAGCCTGATCTGTTCCCTTGGATCTCTCAATAGCTGGCGCTCCCTCTCTATCTCTCTCTCTGTCTCTCTGTCTCTCTCTCTCTTTCTCTCTCCCCCCCGGGATATGCACATGCACATGTATACACTTGCGTATTACCTGTAAAGATACCACGATCGCCTCTCCCTCGATCCAAATGCATTGCAACTTCATTGTTTCAGTGCATTATCTCGCTCTCTCGCTCTCTCTCTCTCTCTCTTCCTATATGTCTCTTTCACCCCCACCCTTGCTCTCTCTCTCTCTCTCTCTCTCCCTCTCTCTTTCTCACTCTGTATCTCCTTCTCCCTCTCCCCTCCATTTCGCTCTATCTCTAACCTCTCTCTCTCTGCCACACACTCACACTCCTGCCACACACACACACTCTTCGTGGCGAAACAAGCAAGAACGCAGTCACGCCCGTGCAAAGCCGACCACCATATCACGCCCCAGCGGTTTCAAGACGCACGCACACACACACACACACTCACACAATTCTAGAGAGCGAATCATATACAACGACTTGTTGAAGATGTGTCCCCGCAATCCCTCAGAGCGCATATGTAGTCGTCTTCCTCCTCCTCCTCCAGCTCCTACAGCTGCTGCAACAACTTCTGATCCGCCCCGTCTCCACCCTCCTCCTGCGTGTGCTGGAGGTCCGGCTCCGGACCCCTCGCCTGCCAAACCACACACAACCACGCGGGCCACACGCGGCATGAGCATAATCTATCGAAGCTCCGCGCGGACCTCTTGGATCGTGCTGGACTTCCCCTCTCGTGGCGCGGGGCGTGCCAGGGGCAGCGCCGGAGGCGCCGCCGACCTCCGAGAAGGCATGGTTCTGCCACTCTGTTTCCTTCGTGCCACTATGCGCCCCCGCCGCGCCCCTGCTCCGCCCTGCGGAGCGCGCTCGGGGCGCCGAAGTGGGCTGGCGCGCCTCGCCGCGCCGCGCTGCGCCGCGCTGCTCGAGGCGCTGCCTGGGCCGCCGGGGATGAGGCTGACGCTCGCGGCGGGGCTGGCCTGTGTGTTGCTTCGGGCCCCTCGCCCCTCGCCTCCCGCTTTCTTTTTCGGTCGCGTCCCGCGAGGTGTTGGAGGCCTGGAAGTGGCCACCCACACCAACACAGGGGGTTGCCCCCACAGGGGGAAGACGATCCTAGATTTCGGCGCTGGTGGTCACATGTCGGCCAATTGGGAAGCCAGAATATTATACCACCATCACCGAGATCCGGACCTGCTTCCCTCGGTGGAGGCACACCGCCGAAATGGGTGCTGGTGCCCACCCCTATAGGCCTGCGAAGGTGCTGGACACTCCCTCCCGGGAGCGAGGAGCACTCCGCTCCGGCGCGAGGACAGCGCTGGCCCCGCCGTGGGGGGGCCCACACGGGCCGCAGTCCGCGGCCCGGAGGCGCTGCCCAGGACCTGGCCCGCGCCCCGAGCTGCGAGGGCAGGTCTGGGCCGGGGGGCGCCGTGCGCGCCGCGTGCGCGCCGCGTGCGCGCCGCGTGCGCGCCGCACGCGAACGGAGAGAAAGAGCACGTGCGCAGCACACCCCCACCGAGCGCAGCCGGCCTGCACGGTCCATCCAGAACCTTCCTCTCCCTCGCCTGTATCTGAGTGCCACGTTGCGCGCGAGTGCCTGTAAACAGAAGTGAAGCGAATCCCCAGTGCGGCTGCCGTCCATCCCGTGGGACAGCCAAGATATGATCGGAGAAGGGTGCGAGGGACCTGTCCGAAGATGGCAGAACACACACACACACAATATCGTCGGGTTCCCGAGGCATGCGTTGAACGCCAAAAGCCAGACAAGCACGATCGGAAACATCCCCCCGCCCGCCACCAGCAGCTCTCACGGTGGAGCCAGCCGGCTAACATCGCTGGACATCGAAATGCCCTGGCAAAAGACCGCCGTCGCGGGCGTGGCCGGAGAAACCGTAGGCCCAAGAGGAGGAGCGAGGGGCGAGGTCCAGGAGGAGCACAGAAAGGAGGCTGGGGAGAATGGACTGAGGCATTCTCTGTGCACTTCTCGGGGGAGGGAAGGAGACGGATGTGGACGTGGTTGCGGAGGAGGCGGATAGTTGGAGCCGGACGGCGGAGAGGAGCAGGAGCAGCGGGAGCAGCCTTTTGAGCGGCCAGCCCGCCGAGGCGCTGCACCCACGTCGGATGCCACGGCGCCCCCCGTTGCCCAACCCGACGCGCAGGCGGACCTCGTTGGCGTCCTTGCCCTGGAAGGGAGGCTTGCCCACGGTCATCTCGTAGGCCAGCACCCCGAGGGAGTACCAGTCCGCGGCCCTGCCGTGCCCCTGGTTCAGGATCACCTCCACCAGCCACCGGGGAGAAGGCGCCACCAGCCCCCAGCAAACTAGTTGCCCCTCCGTCCTCCGTCCTCCTCCTCCTCCTCCTCCTCCTTCTCCTCCTCCTCCGTCCTCCTCCTCCTCCCTCCTCCTCCCTGGGCTTCCGAGCCATACCCTGGTTCTCCGGCCTCCCTCGGTCGGCGCAAGCATTCGGAAGCATGAACAGGCTGGTTCGCTAATCGTCGACTTGAACAATAAGAAGACATGTACCCCCCCCTCCTCTCCTGACTGATTACACGCTGGGCCCTGCATTGGTGACAGTGGAACCCCCAACGAGCAAAAAAGACATGCACAAGCGGAGTACCATATCAGCCCGGGGGGGTGGCCTTCCTCTTAGCGGCACTCGATGCTCACCCTGCCTTGGAGATCAAAAACATGGGGCAGGAACAGGCGGAAAGCGCGGCAAGAGGAGCTCGTGCATCCGCCCGTTCCCGCCAAATGCTGTCCCCAACCATCCTCGGGTGTTGGATCCTCGTTTTGAATCCGCAGCGCCCCGCGACACTCCTTCTGTCTCTGTCTTCCTGCGCCGATCCGAGAAATCCGCGCGGACCTCCGAATTTTTATGTTTGTGTCACTCTTTATCCCCCTACTCCTCCCGTTTCTTCCTCCTCGTCGTCATTCCGACACGCCTCTCCCACGCCCTGTGGCCCCACAGGGAGCTCCACCGAAGGCTCCCGTGCGAGAGCCCGCAGGGAGCCACCGCACCTGGCTTTTCGGCGCAGCCCCCGTCACGCGCTCCGTGGCCCGATGGGAAGGTCCACCGAAGGCCTCAATGGGAAGGTACTCAATCGAGCTGGAACCGGCGACACATCGCCGGTGATTCGGCGACAGGCCCCCCAAGGCGACTCCGCACGCTCCCGGGCGGGGCGGGCTATCGGGCCCCTGAACGGCGATCGCCGGGCGAGATTGGGGGTCGATGCGTCCCCCCCTGAGCCCGTCCACCCCCCCCCCCCTTGACGTTGCCAAGACTTAGGGGAACAAAAAATGACATGAACATCAAAACTCGGAGGTCCGCGCGGATTTCTCGGATCGGCGCTGGGCCCCCCCGGCGCCGCCTCCGGCGCCGCCCCTGGCGCGCTCCGCGCGCCAGGGAGGGGGGCCCCAGCGCCGATCCGAGAAATACGCGCGGACCTCCGAGATTTTGACGCCGCACCCATTTCGGCACCCCCGTCACACGCTTCGTGGCCCCGCAGGAAGCTTCACCGAAGGCCCCAGTGGGAGAGTCCGTATGACAACGCCGCACCCAATGTCGGCACAAACCGTCACACGCTTCGTGGCCGCAGGAGCTCCAGCGAAAGCTCCAGTGGCAGGGTTCGCATGGCGCCGCCGAGCCGGCACCCCGTCACACGCTTCGTGGCCCGATAAGGAGCTCCACCGAAGGCCCCAGTGCGAGAGTCCGCATGGCGCCACCGCGCCCATTTCGGCACACCCCTCACACGCTCAAAGCCACATGTGGAGCTCCATTCGAAAACCACGGGGGAACCACGTGACAACTACGGGGGAAACAACGGCACACCGATCTGATTATCTACCAGCTTCACTATCAAAATAACGATCTCCAAATCTAATGAGTCGTCTCCCGATCTACAAGTCGCACTATGATCCTCGCGATCCCACACTATCAGCATGGCAATCCCGCTCACTGTCAACCAGCCTTTATAGCTTTATATTAAGAATGACCTCGCCCGCAGTAGATCTCTCAAACTATATATATATATATATGCATGCATGCATGTGTATATTTATATGTTACAAAATCATGGGACATGTCCCACTATCTCCACACACATACACACACATACGGGACAACCAGGGAACAACCACAGGAGAACCACGGGGCAACCTCGGGAAAACCACAAGGCAACAACGGTGCATACCCGTGACAACCACAGATCAACCACCACGGAACAACTACGGGACAACCACGGAACAATCAAGAATATCTACCGTCTCGCTATCAATCTAAGGATCTGGCTATCAATGAACTGATCGATCCGCCGATCTACCAGTCGAACACCGTTTCAACCCATTTCTCATCGGTGTATCGACCTATATCGCTGCAGGTCAGTATCATCATCTGCCAATCGACCTCACGATCGTTCTAAATGCCAATCTCACGATTGATATGTTCCGTATCAACAGATGTACGATCCATGAACGGGGCAACCATGGGACAACCACGGGACAACCATAGGACAACCACGGGCAACCACATGACCACCACCGGGAAGCCACGGGAAAACCGCGGGCCGACTACGGGACAACCACTTCTCACCGATCTGATTGTTTACCAGCTTCACTATCAATCGAAGTATCTCGATATCCGATGATTCACCTGCCGATCTGCGAGTCGCACGATGTGCCTGCCGATCCCACGGTCAAAATGCAAATGATTCTCACTGTCTGCCAGTCTCGTTCGTTCTGCATGTAGGTTGGCCTCGCCACAAATGCGTTTATCCCACGGTATGTACTTGCAAATAAATAAGGGGCATCAACGGGACAACCTCGGGGCAACCTCGAGAACCACAGAACCATCACGGCACAAACGCGTGAGAACCACAGGCCAACCATGGGACAACCACGGAATGAACACGTATACATATATATATATATATACATACATACATACATACATATATATATATATATGTATATATATATCGATTCATTCTCACTATACCGATCAGGCGATCAATGTACTGATCAATCTGTCGATCTACTGGTCGCGCAGGGTACCTACCGATATCCTACCGAGGTATCGGTCTACATCACAATAGGACGGTGTAAACATCAAACATTCGATCTCACTATCAATATTTCTCTCAATTCCTCGATTGAATTGTTGGTCCAACTATATGTACCCGTAGGCGGGGCAACAACGGGACAACGACGGGACAACCACGGGACACCTACGGGACACACACGGACACCCACATGACAACCACTGGAAGACAACGGGAAAGCAACGGGACAGCCAAGGGCCAAACGCGTGACACGGACTTGATTATCTACCCCTTTGCCTATAATTCGAAAGATCTCGATCAATAATGGTCGATCCTTCTATCTACAAGTTTCAGTATGTGCCTGACGGTTCTACTATCAAAATGAAAGAAAAGCACTCTTAATGTATACCAGCCCCCTTAGTTCTATACTTAGACTGGCCGCACCACCAGTACTTCTACTGTACCACACTAAACATATACTCATTTCATGGGGCCTGTCCCATCATGTATAATTCGTAGATGTAAGTCAATAGATATAGATATAGAAATGTAGATATGTGTAAATGTAGATACTTGTGTATGTATATATATATATATATATATGTTTTTTATGTTCCTCGAGGGTATTCGTGAAGTAGCAGCGGCACCAATGTCAGCTAAACAACTGTACACGACAAAGGGGCAGCAATGATAGGCGGAGGAATCGCGGAGACAGTTCGACGCCTGACCAACTGCCCTGCCGGCAGCGGTGCGAGCCTGGCCAATTGCGAGCACGTGAGACCGGCCGGATCGCTGAGCCTCACGCCGGAACACCTTGTCCTGCTCATCCAGGAGAGCGCATTCAGTGGCCGAGAGCTTGGTGAAACTCTGAGCGTGGGCGCAGATCTGAGACCAACACGCTGTGCGACGGGTGTCGCAGAGGTGGGCGAGGCAGCGGAGGCGAGTCTGGAAGCGGGCGCCACATCGATGCTCGGCACATGCCGAACTCGCGCTGCTGAGCGCGCATGCCGTGCTTCGCACGCGCGTGCGACTGCAGAGCGCGACTGGAAGCGAAAAACATCCCGCATGTCGTGCATGAGTATGTCACGGAATACGGGCTGGGAGCGAGCAGCGCGCCGGGTCCGGAGTCACAGAGCGAGGAGGAAAAGTGAATGCAATTGACAGCATCACTCCATTGAGCGGGCTGTCCGACCATCATCTGTTCCCAAGGTGCTCCGTCGACTATGGGGTCAGGTAGGTGCGCGCGCAACGTGGCCATGCGCCAGAGGCGCTGGAGGTCCTCCCGGAGCTGGGCCACCCAGGGAAGGACAGCTCCCCCCCCCCTTGTGGGCCCCAAGCAGCCCGAAGAGCCCGGGAGGGCCTGACCGCACAGCCCGGGCGGAGTAGGCTAAGCGCTTCTTCAATAGTATAGAATCAAGTGATGGGTGCATGCGGGCCGCTCGCATATTGCAGTGCGACTCGGCAGGGCCATGCCGGCAGTGGCCGAAAATGCGTCGCAACACTCTCATGTAAGGTGCGTCGAGAACTTTCAGCGCAGATAAAGAGAAGACGCGGACGTGACAATTGAACACCAGGCGTGGAAAAATCAGTGAATGGGCAAGGCCGAGGCGTTCCTGGACGTCAAGATCCTCATTTCCGAACACGCGCAGCGACAGAGGGCCATGGGAGGCCAGAGCGGATTTGGCCCGAGCGCGTCCTTCGGGCACAGCCTGCCCGGTATTCGACGCCACGCCGCCTAAATGCTTGTACTCGGAGACTACCTGGACAGACCCGCCTCGTCCTGGCACCTGCACTGCCATGGAGTTGCCACGGCCTTGTCGTCGTCGTTGGTAGTGCACGGCAGACTGCGAACCGCGATACACAATGATGCACTCCGTCTTCCCGGGCTTTACATTGATGGAGAAGTTCAGCAAATCGAAAATCGAAGTAAGCTTGTGCAACAATATGTCCACGCGCTCGTGGAGCAGCCTGGGGGGGGTGGGCGCGCAGAGCATCAGGCACTCGTCGTCCACGAAGGTCACGTCGATGACGCACGCGTCCCCTACGGGCGCGCTGGATTCAAGGGAGAATTGACCCAGCACACGTGACATCCGACGCGCAGGCGGAGCACAACGCCTGCCTCGAGCAACCCGTCCCGGAGCATGATCAAGCCTACGGAAGAAACGCCGTTGAAGATCGTGCTGCCGAACTTGCACCCCTGCTTGCCCCCGAAGCAAATGCTAACCGCTGAATCGATGTCAC